CACTCCAACTCCAGAACATAACATGTGTTAGCTTTGATATATTGAACCAGGGACCCGACATTCAGTATCAAAAGGATGTCTATTAAATTTAAATCAACTCCTTCAACAGTGAAACTGACCGGAACCATCCAAAAAGCAATAACATCCTCAGAATAAGATGCACAAGGGATAGCAAAAAGGACAGAACTGGAACAATTTCCCTTACCTCCACTGTGACCCACAACATAGGAGGAGTATAATCAAGGGAGGAATTTAGATAACCATGAACATGTGTGAGGACGTATGTTGATTGGTTCAACTCTAAATCTATAACCCAGGCACAGGGTACCGACATCCACGCTGGGGTAGGATGAGGGATCTCAATCAATGGGGTTAACTGCAATTTTAAGTCTCACTCCTTAGTAATTGTATAACCCATATGAAAGATATCACGTCATCTACACCAGCAGAACACCACTGCCCTACTCTGCACTGAATGGTTAGAGCCAGCTTTGTGTGGAATCCATTGAGGAGGGTGCCTCCACAGTAGACCACTCCAGCAACTTGGAACTGGAAAGTGGTAAGGACTCCCATACCCCACTAGAAAAAAAAAAGAGGGGTGAGAATGCGTTGGAGAGTCCGGAGGAATGTCATCACCTGAGACAGTGCAATGGGTGACCACAAAACCCTATTTTGAAAAGCAGACCATACTGATTTATTCAATACAAGACATGGCAGGGATGGGCAGCTATCCCCTTCTGCTTTACCCCTGTAGTCCATGGGTTGTACGGTCTGGAGTGGTATGGACGAGGGAAACCACCCGATGAAGTAATCAGATAGGAGGATAAACATAAAGGAATTTGTGGGACCGAAAGACCCCTCCGTTGGATAAATTTGGTCAGGGAAGGAAAGACAATACACTACAAGATTGAAAGCACCTGAAACATGACACACAATTAGATGAATGTGGTGTGTGTGGGCCCAATATAGGAGATCCAATGTACAAAAACAGAGAGATCTTGACCAGGTACCCCCTTGGTGATTGATATGTGCTACCACCCTAGAACTGTCAGAATGAATCATCAGCAGCAAGGGCACCCTCAGAAAAAAAAATTATGGGGGGGGGGGGTCATGTAACTCATGTTTGAAAAACATTATTAAATCAAAATAGTCACCAGAATCCAGGGGGGTCAAGTGACCCCCCTTGCCCCTTCCTGCAGCACTCATGACTACCAGACAATGTCTGGCAAGAGGAAGCAAGCCTGATGGATGGCGGGAAGCTCGAAGATGTTGATATGCAAAGGCGGCTCCTCGACAGAACAACGACCCAAAGCCTCTTGGTGATTGACCCACACTCCCCAACCCTGAAGGGATGTATCCATAAACCATAAATCAGGGCAAGGAGGAGGAAGTGGGATGCCCAACAATGTCCAACCACCAAAGCAGATCATTCAACACGGTACGAGGAAGGGTAACAGGAGCTGCCAAGGGATCCCGAGGTTTCATTGATTGTGAAGAGCCCACTGAAGTGATCACATATGTGCACAACTGAGGGAGACTAGTGACGTCATTGAAGACCACATACCTAAAAGCAATAGAACCTCATGAGCAGAAAGTGAGGGAGCTGAAAGGTCATGGCAAACTAACAATTCCATGGAACCAAGTTGTAGAGAAGAAGGTTGGACCCAACTGAGATGAGTGTCGAATATGACACCTAAATGGACAAGATATTTGGTAGGACAGATAAATGACTTTTCCAATGTGATGAACCAGCCCACCCGAGCAGCCACGTGAAGGAGCTGACAAGTATGGCTGGCCAACTCCAGTTCAGAATGAGCCAGAAGAAGTCAGTTATCCATATAATGGTGGAATCGCAGCCCCAGAGCATAAAGATGGTGAGCAAAAGCTCTGACCACCCAACAGAAAACATAAGGGACAGAAGCAAGCCCAAAGGGTAGGGAATGAAAATGGTAAAACACCTCATGATGGACAAACCAAAGATACGGACAAGACCTTGGTGAGACAGGGATGTGTAGATAAGCATCGGCAACGTCCATTTTGATCATACATAAGACTGGAGAATATGCCCACCGTAGGGTGAGAAATTACTCCATGGTAAAATGGGGCAGTTGAATGAATCAATTGAGGTGGGAAAAATGGATGACAGGCCTCCAGTCCCCAGTTTTCTTGAGAACAACAAAGAGTCTGGAATAAAAGCCTGGTGAAGTATGTAGAATAGGTTCTATGGCCTGCTGAGATAGTAGGTCCTGAACCACCTTCCACAGATGCTGGCTGGCCATTGGAGACAGGGAAGGAAACAGGTATAAAAGACACAAGAGGTGGGGAAAGAAACAGGATCAAAAATCCTTCTGATAAAACTTGAAGAACCCAAGGATTCTTGATGAAAAAAAATCAGTAAGTCGAGCTCCCACTGGGTAGTCATCGATACTGTTGGCGACATGATGTGCTTCGTGGAAGAAAACGACGAGGCATCTGAGCAGGAGGGACAGGTAATAGTTGGGAAGGAGAAGGACAGGAAACTGTAATAGGTGCCATATTGGGCTCCAACTGAGACAAATGGGCAACAAGAGTGGAAAAGGTAGACTGTTGTACTGATACAACTCTTGACTCCAAAGACTCAGGGACTGTGTCAAATACATGACACCACAAAAATGGGGACATACGTAAATCCTGAAGATAAGACACTGGTGGACAGACACAAGTGAAATTGGGGATGGGTCAAACTTACAGGAGATTTTGGGACTCCCCCCCAAACAGGTAAAATAAAATCTAACAATTGTTGGTCTAGAAAAGGGCAGTCTGCATGATGATATACAAGTGCTGATACAATGCACGTGGGAGGCGAGAAAAGATAATCCTGTCACTTAATTGTGAGGCAAATAGGTCAGCAAGTACCTGAATATCTGGGGAGGGGGGAAAAAAACAAATAGGGATGTGAAGATTGGACATGTAGTAGTTGAAGGACATGGTTCATAGGAAATAGGGACAAAGGATAAAACATCACATACCTGAGAAACAAAAACCAAAAAGAAAATAGTAGGCATGGGAAGGCACAGCAAAATCAGGTGGCAGAAATAGGCAATCCAAGTCCTCGTCAAACTGAACAGGCTCGGCATGTTTGGGAGGAAGTGGGGCGAGGTCCGGAGGTCTGAATGAATGCCAATAAATCTCCCACCAGGTTACCCACACCTGAGGCCTGTGACATAGTGCTTGTTGCAAGTGTGACCCCCAAAGTGGTAACATGAGCTTTGGAATTCATAATCAGGAAGAGGGAACCAAAATCTAAATTATTACTAATAATCATGTGACTGTAATAAACATGGATTAAATTATTAAAGTGAAGAAACAGTCTTAATAAACTTGTAAGTAATTTAAATGAAAACCACTTTGCAAGTATACTAAGTTGAACATGAAACTTGAAACAAACAAAGGAACACGTCCAAGCACAAGTACTGCTAAACAAAAAGTGATAGTTTAGTAGAGGCATATAGAGGGAGTCACATGTATCACAAGTATGTCCCACTCCTATTGGTGGAGAAGTGACACATGATGATTTGCATGAGAGAGATGTCGGAAGTCTTGTGGCATGCATAAAGAAAGAAAAAAGTTCACAAATAGAGGGCAGCACTCAATAAGAATAGCTAATCTTGGGAGAAGAGGGAAGTACCATTTCAGAATTTAAATCAGTGAGTGAACAAAACTGTATTTAATAAAAGGTGATTTAAAAATAAGCTTTACTGAAAATTACAATTAGCAAATTGTAACTAAAAGGTCAGAAACAAATCTGTTTGATAATAATAAAACTCTCTTCACAGTTCGTCTTCTCTCTATAACTGAAAAACAGAACTCTCGATCACAAGAACCTAGAAATATCCCTGTTCCACTTGACAGTCATAGAACACTCCCACATACACAAAGTAGAGTAAGATACAATGCAGGTATCCCGTGACACAGTAGATAGTTTCCATGACTGAACCTTGCAACATAAAGTACTACCTAGTGTTTAATTTAGTAAATGACTTCAGATAGATTTAAGATGATGCAATTCACAACTTATTAATTTTTTTTTTTTACATTTTATAAATATGAACTATACACCTTAGGCTTAGGATAGTATTGTCCTAGGCATGTCTTATAGCAATTACATGTACACTGTAAAAGATCAGAAAACAACATCCATCCAGACACTGCTTCATCTCATCCCTCACACTATACATATACACTTTACATAGAATATATATAATTCATATTTTTAAACAAGATCATATTTCAGTTTTAATCACTTCATCATGTGGAATGTTTGTACACACACACATATATATATATATATAAAGATGTTATATCAAAGCTATCATAAAAAACATATATGACATGCATCTTCTTCATTCTTCCAAATATTGATATTTGTGGTATGTTACTTTTTGTATATTCATTCATGCATGTGGACCATTGCTAACAAAAAACGTCAAGCTACTCTACATATACCTTCCCATTTTCTCCCTATGCTCTATTGTTTTAAAAACAGTCACATATTGGTAATCAAGACTAATGAAGTCATGGACTTCTTAAATAAAACAGAACCAAAAGCTTTATTCACAAGAAGTTTCTCAAACTTTTCCAAAACTGATACTTCTTGTTTGTAATTTCCCACCCTTCAAAAAAGTGACAAGTTTGGGAATTATTTCCTTACCGTGATCAGTAAGAATACTACTTACTAGTAAAAAGGTTTAACACTTTACTTCAACTGAAAATATGTGTCCTAAAAAACAAACAACAATGATGACACGTAAAAAGTATGAATAGCTTTAGTTCTATTAATTTGTAAATAAAACATTTCATTTTCTAGGTTTTTCATATTATTCATTATGACATTAGTTTGCAACCTCTAATAAGAAAATTAAAAACATATATTAAAGGCAAAGTTGTGTTAATTTGTTTTCACATTGTGATTCTTGAGAAAGCAATCTTCAAGTATGATCTTAAAATATTTTTTATCATACCTTCAGTTTTTTGCTCAGTGTCGACATAAATATCCAAGTTACACTTCATACCTTCCATCTTGCATTTATTTTCTGTTGAAAATGTTATTAGCACTACTTTTACCGAGAATATGGCTATATATCACCATTAAACGTATTATAACACAGAGCATTTTCAGTATTTAAATGTTTTCACATCTGCCTGATTTCACACTGAAGAAACTGTATTTGGAATATCTTAAAACACAATATGTACGGCATTTGAATTTTAATTAAATTTAAAACTTCATATTGAAATCAATATATCAAAAATACTAAAATTAAAAACAAATGGTTACTCAAACATGGTTTCTTTCCATGCTAATACTGTTAATATTCACGTATCTAATCTTTCATCTGTATTTGGCAAACGTTACAATTTATTAAATTATTCATAAACTAATTCATACTTCAGCACTAGTACTGCTAATGCCAGTGATATTATTAGTACTAGTAGCTGCACTAACTTTGAAACGTTATAATACCAAATGTTACTCTTATAAAATATGTATTTCACATTTTAGCAAATCTGAGCGCCTAAAAATATATATACATGAAATCTGACTCTAATTTCTAAAGTCTAATCGGCATTTTCTAATCTCAAACTCTCAGTATGAATTATAAGTATAATATTTAATTCGTTGGGTGAATATTGTCGAGAAAATAGCAACAACAGTGCTACCTTTCGGTTATCATATCAGCACTAGACTCAAAATAAAAATCGTTTTGGTTGCAGATTAAATTAGAGAACAGAACAAAAGCAGACTATAAATTTTAGGTTTTTATTGTACTTCACACTCAATATCACAAACAAATAACAAATGTATCGGATATATTGTTAATTTACATAAAAATATCATCTGTATTTGCCTAGAACTTATTTAATTATGTAACAATGGAACTAATAAAAGGGATATTTTTTATTCTAATATTATCACAGAATATGAAATCATTTAAAATAATAATTATTTATTTAAAAAGGTGCACATTTACCTACATTCTAATTAAGTTAGATTAGGAACATTGTAACCAACAGAGAGGGGTATCATACATAAACCCCATATGTGTTTTCCTGTAAAAAAAAAAAAAAAGAATGATTATAAATACGTAGAGGGTATAAAAGCTAATCTTCAGGAATAGTGATTGTATTTTTTTAATTTCGCGCAATGCTACTCAGGAAATATCTGCGCTAATTTATAAGTGATACACTAGAGAGAAAGAACTAGTCCGACGCCCTACCCCAGTGGCACAGCGGAATGTCTGCGGACTTACAACGCTAGAATCCGGATTTCGATACCCGTGGTGGGCAGAGTACAGATAGCCAATTGTGTAGCTTTGTGCTCAATTACAAACAAACAAAAAACCTACCCCAGTGATGATGAAGATGACGATGCCCCAAATAAAAAAAATTCCCTCCAGTATAAAAACAAAAACAAAAAACACTAAATCATCTCCTCTTCAAGAAGACACTACAGAGTTAGTTAAAGGAGTTGATATATTCCCGTTACGACTGTCACTCCTTCCTTTATTGTTATCATCATGTAGCCTTAATTACATTCTGGTTTTATCGGGCACTGGTCAGGTTGATTATTCGGCACCTGACCAGTGAAAGTGGTTTTTCTTGGGATACTCTCTCTTTCCCCCCAATCAAATTTTCCAACGATAGAATTTATAGATCTCCGCCTCCCTGAAGGACCAGAAGTCCGATAAGGGTCATTAGTTTATTTATTTGTATAGTTTTGCCTCGCGCACGATAATAAAACATTCATATTTATGTATATCAACTCCCGACTCCTCCTCTCCGGCTTTCGTAGTCTTCTTTAACTTCGGTCGTTTTTTTCTTGGCTTCTTCGAGGGCTTCTCAGATGCATACCAGCACCTCAAGTGTAGCATGTTCCTGTTCCGTTTCTTCTCTTCTCAAGCCGAATCACTTCAAACAAGTAACAATACCCTAACTGCGAAATAGGATGAAGAGAAAAGATATTTCTGAGCATCCCCGGTTGTTCCCATAAATTTAACTCCCATTAAATTTGAGGAAAATGCAAACAACATTTCCCACTACGTCTACTGGACTGCGAATGCAGTTAGTCAGCACCACCCACCAACTTTTGGGTTACTTTGATTGAACAATGGGATTAGCCATCACATTACCCCCCCCCCGATAGTCACCTAACATGCTGCTGCTGTATACAAAGTTGAATAATGAATGTTTACTCCTGCATTGTTGTCACCTAACATACAGTCATGCGTTCTAAGTGTTTGTAGTTCATACTTCATTTCAGTGATGTATGGTCCATTCAGTTAAAGAACCTACTTTAGTACTGTATAACTCTTACTTGAGTTACCGGGGGGGGGAGGGGGCTGTATGGCCGGGACCCCTAGATCCTGTCCTATGTGGCCTATGAGTTAATCTCGTACTGCACGTCTTGCATCAGAATATAATGTACAGACACATTTGTTGCGAATAATAGTGATATAAACACCAGATGGATGTCATCGTAGAAAATGCATCACTTTATATAGAGACGATTAAGCGAAATCTGTTATATTTCTGTGGTTATTGGATATGCGGCCCACTTAACTCCATTTCATGTTATTAAATGTAAACATTTCAGACACCTTCGTAATAGGAAAAGGTAATATAAACCTAAGACTGTCATCATTGTAAATATTTACAGCTTCATTTTTTATAGGTGACAGGATGAAATTATAAATTTTTCTGTGATTATAGTTTATGCGGCATACATAAACATTATGTCGGAAAAAACAACTAAGAATTTACAAATATATTTATAATTCGCTTGAAAAAACTAATACTGTTTGTTAATAATAAATGCTGAAAATGATTACAAAACATATGAAACGCATAATAATGAACGTTAAAAACAAGTATTTTTGGAATTATTACACGAGATAATTTATTTACACATAAGCTGGAGAGTCGGGCTCAAAAATGAAACCTTGCTATTTCCAACACAATCTCTGTCTATTGAGTTAAAAGATCAGGCTCTGTCAGCTAGGCTGTCAGAAATTTTGACATACTCTGCACATCAAAAGTATTTACTACTGAAGGAGCATGTCATAAAAAGCTACGTATGTGATATGCATGCATATGATATGTTTTCTACCTGCTTCAGTTATATATGGAAAATTAAAAAAAAATTTTGGTTATTTAATTTCTAGTCAGTTTTAACATATCCACGAGGTCCAGAAAATCATTGATATTTTATTATTCCAGTTGCTTTATTTATTTTTTCTCTCTGGTAGATAATTTGATTTTGCTCAAAAGAACATTGCAGTAACAAATAGCATCTGTGACTGTAATATCCTTTGTTGGCCTAATGAACACTGTCTGTATGTTACAATCAACCAATGTTGTGAGAGAACAAAGGTGGCGAATGATGTTGCCAACTGGGCAAAGAAACAGCCGAGCTTACCTATAGAATTCAGGCACGTTTTGTATAATTTAGTTTCTTCTTGGAGATCAACAAGTGTACTATATTTGGAGAATAGAATGTTTAGTTCCACAAAAGTTTATCCCGATAGAAAGAAAACTGTGTATATAGTCACAATCCAGTAAAAGTTACTATATTTTCTTGTGAGAAAGTATGTACAATGTATTTTTTGTCTGTTTCATGATAAAGATTGTGTTCATTTTGTTAAACTTATCCAGTCTCATTATTTCATACAAACACACTAGGAATACTCAGTCAATTTCACAAAGACAGGTTACTCTCCTTTTTTCCTAAAATAAAATATTATCATTAGCTGGTCTAACTATCGAGTACTTGTTGTTGGGAAATCAGTTTCCATTTGAAAATACCACAAATACAATATAAAATATTTTATTCAGAAAATAAAGCTCAGTATGTAACACCTGTAGAACTCTAATTTTTTTCATATGTGGTATCATCAGTATGAGATATATCAGTTTAATAACAGCATAGTCGAAAAGGAAATTTGAAAGTAATTCAAGATTGAAAACTTGACTGAGTTTTAAGTTACGTGAGATATAAACAGATTTGACAAGTTTGAAAGACAGTGAATACAATCTTTATTTACACACACAATAACATAAAAAACAATGTGCATATCTGCATAAACACAGTGTACAATTGTTTCAAGATGAATCTCTGACAAAGTAGTCCATATGAAAAACAACTAGAACTGATTAGAAATAATAGTTCTGATCATGCAAGAAAGCTCTTATTCTTTGTATTGCAATGGCATCATCATATGACTGGTCATTCTCTCACAGAAATTTAATTGATTGTAACATACAGACATCATTCACTCAGCCAGCAAAGGACATTGCAGTCATCGACCCTTTCAATAAGATTTACCACAACATCCTTTTGGGCAAATTAGATATTATCTGTTACAGAGAACAAAAGACATAAAGGCAACTTTGACAGTTCGATACACCACATGTTTATGTCAAAACTGCATAGAAATAGACTAAATGAAAGATTTGGAAAACTTATATATTGTTACGACAGCGGAAGTCACGTGACGCTGGTAACAAGTGATAAGTTTCTAGAAGGATCACGAAGGCCCGAGTGTTTGCCAGACGCCCTATATTTTAGTATATAAGCCCGGCAAATGATTGCAGATATAGAGATATAGAGACAGATAATTCGAGTCAAGCGAGCAGTAGGCACCGTAAGTAAAGTTTGTGAATCGCCGTGAATTATAGCGTGTGTTTATAAAAGTAGTTAAGTTTAAAGTGACTGTGGAAATTAAGTGTATTACAAAGTTTGTAACGAAAAAAATAAACTAGTTTTAATTAAGAAAGGACTTGTATCCCTGAAGTTTTTCGGAAAGCAGATACGTAACAATATTAATAAAAACAGATAAAACATGTGATATGACTGCATATGACACATGCAGGACATGAGAAAATGAAAGATTGAGAATTTTTCTTTTGATTTGGCTGATAAATGTTAATGCAAGCTCTGCCTGTGCTTATTCTTATAATATTGTTAAATAATTATCTAATTATTAAATTATTAGCATTTTGCATAAGATATTTTAATTTAGTCATATACATAAAATGCCCTGGAGAAGGTGACAGTTCCCATTCATGGGCGTTCGGAGAGATCCTTTTCTACCTATTTTCTCTCTCTTATATTCTCTCTCTTCCTATTACTGTGGAACCTTGTATTATGTTTAATCAAAGTACAATGATAACCAAGAAAACTAAAGCAATAAGTTCAGGTTAAAACTCTTGGTTCATCTCAGATTTTGCTAGAGTGGCCCTATATAAATGTAGTGGTATATCCTATGATGACGACAATGTAGACTTTCTATCACTGTTTTATGTTAAAAAGAAAACTCTCGAAATACAGTTACAAGCCTTTATTTTTGTAAAATTTTGTAGATTTTGACCAGTCGCCTCTATAAAATGTGGCCTTGACAATAAAATTGGGTTGCTCTTACAGTTGTTACGTCTCCGTTTGTTAATTAACTTTCCGTAACTTCGTTCCGACGAAACTTTAGCGACACAAGTCCTTACTTAATAAAACTGGTTTATTATTTCTGAGTATAACTTCACGATACACTTGATTTCAACATTCGCGCTAAACAAACGCTATAACGAACGTTAACTTCAACAATACTTTCTCACTGTAGATCAATTACTCAC